GGGTCTGTGTCAGGAAAGGAGGCAGGAAGGGAACAGCAGGCACAGAGTTAAGAGGTTTGAAATGGCTATTCCCAGGAGCCAACCTGAATACATTTTCAAATGCACTGAGCCAACCAGGAGTATGGAGCAAACGCCTGTGCCACGAGCCCCCTGGAGGTTGTTCCAGATTACATGGTCCCAGGGCGGGAGACTGAGGTCCAGCAAGGAGGTGCCTCTAGCTAAGGAGCTACAGCTCCTGCACACCCATGCTTGGATCCACCACCCAGGCTGGAATGTCAGGCAGCACAGACCAGGGACCCCAGTCTTGTTGCTCTGATCCTGACTGAAGGGCACGCTGAGGGACAGCCTGACCAGCATTCCCAAGCAGCTGCTGTGGTCAGTGTCCCCAGGCCCTCTGAAGACTGCGGACCCTTCCATCCTCCCGTCTCCACGTGGCCACCATGATTTACCACTAACGTGCTCTGGGAGACAGGTGGATTTAAGTGGTCAAGGGTGCTTGGGGGTTTGTATTCTTTGACTAAGTCTCTCCTCTACATGTTGGTGTGTCTGCTTCTCAAGACCAGGGCACACACCGTCTGCTTCCCGGGGTCACACTGTGCTGGGGAGGAGCAGAAGGGAGGGTGAGAAGTAGGGTAGGAGTGCGGGTGGAGACCGCAGGGATTCTAGACTGACTTCTGGTTCTAGTCTCTCAGCAGTGACCAGCCTTCTTCGTCACCCTCAGCAGCGGCGTGCGCAGTGTCTCAGGAGCTGGTGGCTCCCATCTGCCTTATCAGGCTCCCTCTGCAGTTCTGAACGCTCCCTTCCCCCGTCACAAAGGGAGGGAGCAGTAAGCTTTCAGGATTTCCCTGCTGCGAAGCTGCAACTCTTCTATCACTTTCTTTCTGTTTATTTGGAACCATGTTCCGGAAATACTCAACCTACACAAAAACAGACTAGTATACCTGGGTACAAGTCACACAAGTGTCACCGTTTTGCTAATCTCGTTTTATCTATGTCCACTTTTTTTTGCTACAGCGTTTAAAAGCAAATCTCAGCGATTTCACTTCATCACAAATAAATAAATATTATTATATATTATAAATATAATTTATAAACTATAAATATATAAATTTATATAATTTACATAGTATTATATATTATATATCGATTCTATATCTATACCCACCACAGAGATAAAGATTTTTGTGTTCATCATATTCATAATATATTATCACCAAGATTATCTAATAACCTGTCTTTGTTCAAATTTCCCAGATTATTTTTTAAAAAATTCTTAACTACTGGTTTGATATACTCAGGATCCAAACTAGGTGTGCACATTATATTTTTTAAAGTATCTTTCTTAAGTCTCTCTTAAGCTATTCCAGTTTCTCCTCCCCCCTGTTCTCAATGTTATTTGTATATGAGAGAAGTCCAGCCCTTTGTCCCATAGAATTTCCCGTTTTCTGTACTGGGCTTCTTTCTTCCTCATGATGCTGTTTAGCATGATCTCCTGGATTCCCTGTAAACTGGCAGTTACACCCAGGTGCTTGATTAAATCCAGGTTTAATTCTTTCTGGCAAGAAGACTTCTCAGGGAGCGCCATGGTTACTTCCAACCGCACTGTATGAGGAGACACATGACGCCCATGGCGACTTCTTAGCTCATATCCTTATTTTTTTGTTTTTGTTTTTAACTTTTTTTTTTATTTTGGGGGGGAATTGGGAGCTTTCGGGGTGTTGTGTTCTGTTTATTTTTGTAGGGGGAGGTGATTAGGTTTATTTATTTATTTTAATGCAGGTACTGGGGACTGAACCCAGGACCTCATGCATGCTAGACATGCACTGTACCACTGAACCTCCCCCACCTCACATCCTTATTAAATGCAGAAAGTTTCCTAAACTTTATATACATTCCTTGAATCACAATCTGGCCCCGCTTGTAGGTTCTCACCACTGACTTTAAGTTTTAGCCCCAGAACTGTGATAAAACACTGGGGACTCCCAGCAGCAGAACCACCTTGAGATCAGCAGGTATAGTAACACAGGAGACCAGTCCTTACGTTTCACTTAATGTCCATATTTATCATTATACTGTGCTGTTGATTTTTAACCGCTGGAACAATGACAAAGTTCTGCTTGAAATGAAAATAGTACATGGCTTGTGTTATATACTTGTCCTCAGAGCTGTAGGGGGTCAGGTATGTACTTATAAACAAAGCAATCACATTCACACATGTAAGTTACTGATACCAGTAAACAATGTGTAAGCCTGCATACTTTAGTTAAAAATTCCCAGCTACATCTAAACAGGTTTGTATAAATTGATTAACCGCAATTCCTAGCTGCAATAATGCTTAATTATTGTTCTGGAACTTACGGCTGTAGTTTTGGGAGCTAGATCCAAAAATGTCCTCTATCTTGCCAAGACTTTCTGTTGGTGTCTCCAGAAATTCAGGCAGATATTCGAGGGCTCTGGTATCTCAAAGCCTAATGCTTCTGCAAGGGCAAAGAACAAGGCACTTGTAAGATCAGCCCAGATTCTGCTGGCCTTCCTTCCTTCTACCTGGGAACTGTCTCACTTGTTAGGGAAAGTTCACCCAACCACTCAAATTAAATGGATGCAAATCTCACAATCAGGGGCTTAGCATCTACATGTAGTCACAAATAGCTTATGTGCAGACCTGCCTTCTGGAAACATGATCTATTCATAGAGGAGACGGGGTCCCTCTTCTGGATGTATTTTGAGTTTTATGAAGAGTCCCTTGGGTATCTGGAGCCCCCAAGGGACCTGGGTTATCAAGCACTGGAAGGGAATATTTATCAACCACTCCCAAGTTAGATCATCTTTGCAGAAGAAACTGGTGTGTTTACTGTGCTCCTGGAGTCACACCTGATTTGGGCCCTGGACTTGGCTCCAGTGGCTGCCTTGGGAGGTTGAATCCAGAGAAAACTTCTGGAGCAGGGCCACGTTGTCACAATCCGCTGATGAATCCACGAGCAGGCTTCCAGGGCCCTTCTCCAGGTCCTGGGGCAAGTCCTCTTCATGTGTCAGTTTTTCCACTATCATGGGGATAACAGCAGCCTACAGGGGAGGGAAGAAAATGACTGGAAACGCCACGCAAGAGTGTTTACCAACACATGACTCATGAGTCCCTGAGCCTGGAGGCTCCTGTCACCCAGGGAGGAGAGCTTTATTTCCCTATCCACGATCAGGAAGACACTCACCCCTCATGGCTTCATCAGCACCTCCCCCCGCACCTCCCCCAGCTTCCAGACCAAGGCAGACAGAGTTGGTGGGCAACTGCTGGGGAAGCCGGCTGTCTTTGTGAGGGAAGAAGGCTGCTCTGAGCCGTGGCTGATGGGCCTGCACAGTGGAATTTTTCTCCCTTTTAATCCAGACTGAAACGCGCTCCTTCCTGGCAGGCAGACAGGCCCACTCTTCCAAGTCCACAGGAAAGTTCTGTTTTGACAGGCACACGCATTCTTTTTCAGAAAGCCACAGAGGCAACCGCCTGGGTAGCAGACAGACCCACTCCCTTCCAGCCCAGGAGGTGAGAACCCTTTCATGAGCCACAGAATGGAGCAGCAGCCGGGCCGGCTGAGGCAGCCCCAGAAAGTACACGACTCCCATTCTGTGGCTTCTAGCTCCAGAACGTCCTTCCTCTCACACATCCAAACACTGGCAGGGCTCTTTGTCCGGCGCTGGGACCCGAGGGAGCAGGAGGTTGGCAGGAGTCATGAGGCATTTTTCTGTGGGCTTTGGTTTCCTGGCCAGTTGAACCCGATCCAACGATTGTCCCAAGGTTCTGCCAGATAAAACAAGGAGAGAGCTTTTCTAGATGCCTGGTGACTAAGAGAAGGGGGAGGGAAGGCACAGCAGAATGGGGGGAGGGGCACCCAAGTCCCTGCAGAGGCCATGGCTCAGGAGACCCCTCCCCAAGCAAGGGCCCTGCCTCTGCCCCCTGGATGTGCAGTGGCCTCGAGAGACCCTGACCTTCAGCCAAATGCCTGGCACCCAGGCCAGGCCGTTCTGCCCCTGGCGCAGGGCCTTGATCTTAGCTCCGTTTGTGACTGAAAGTCAAATTCCCTGGAACACAGGGTTAGCATTTTCAGCAAACTAATCTCATTTGCGATATGCAATATTCTGAGCAGTCTCGGCCCTACCCAGGAGTTGTCTAGAAGTCTGCTTCCCTGAACTGGTATCAAGGGTGATGTAAGTATGTCCAGAGTATGTCCCTGCCTGAAGAACTGCCCGTCCACTGTGCCTGAACTTTCTACCCTTGGAGCCACTACCTGGGAGTCACTAAAGCATCATCTTCAAAAAGTTCTATTTCAAAGGCACATATTCAGTTCATTATTATGCCCTCATTAAAACACATAAATACTTGCAGGCAAATTATAAAATATCTGTAGACTTAACTCCCCTGGGGATGCAGTGGCTAATCCCATCCCTCCTTCCCAGAGAGCAGCTGCATCTCTTTGAGAGGGGAAGCCAAGGACAGGTATCTGTTCTGGGGCCCCCTTCCCCCATCACCCCGGTTCCATGTTCCTCTACTTCTTCAGTGGTCCTTGAAGATCCTCCTTCCACATCAGCCTCAACACACCCACACCGCACTGACTATTTTCTAGCGTCTGAACTGAGGACCTAAACACAGACGCTGTTCAAGATCTAGTATTTAAATCATGGAGACTGTCTGTCTTGGTTACAGTTCGGCAGTTCTATTTTTGCTGCTCTGTTATTTTCGAACCTAAGCGTGATTGCCTAGATCTCTGAAATGTTGAAAATTTAGGAGGAGCTCATTTCTCCTGAAAGATAGGGGTTCTATTATATTGCTTTTTTTGCAAAAAAAAAAAAGTCTTTGAAGTCTTCCTCCAAAGTGCCTGAGTTCCGCCCTGCAGAGGTGGACGGGGGAAGAGGGTGAGAGCTCTGGACGGGCCAGACAAGGACACCATCCAGGCTGCTGGTGGCCGAAGGGATTCTGATTACTCCAGGCCCTCCCCACTGCGGTCACTTGAGGTCTCCCTCTGTCGAATGCATCTCTGGCTCTGACAGTTTTGCTCTGACCACAAAGCGTGGCTTTGCCAATGCTAAGTGTTTAATTATTTCACTTTCATTAAGTCTAAGTTGCTCAGATTGTCTTCTTGTCTCCCAGCTCTTCAAAACCCAACCTGAAGGGTATTTGAGACCCAGGGCTTAAGATCAATGCAGAAGGTCTAGGCTTCTAAGCTACTGCTACCTCTAGATACATGCATAAAAAAGAATAAAACAAACTTATTTTCTAGCAAGCTTAAGGTTTTCCAATGATTTTCACTTTTGTTTTTTTAACAAAGGAAGGGTAGGGAAGGCAGAACCATGAGGTCCACTGGAGGAAAGGGTCAGAAGGGAGCATGGGGCCAGGTTAGGCCAGAACCATTGGTATAGATGGTCTGGCAGGGGCAGCACTGGACATCATCCACACTGGCCGGAGCGCAGCACAAGCCTCGGAGCCTCGGCGCACCGTGTGGGCAGCTCCAGCCTGTTCCACCCCTGAGACCAGACCACAGATGACCTCAAGGAGTGACCGAGTTCAAGGTGAAGCTTCTTTGTGTGGCCACAAGTCCCCGAGACAGGAGCACAGACCAAAAGGGCAGACAGAGACAAGGGCTAGAAGCCTGGAAGCTGGCATGAAAACCAGGCAACAAAGATCCCGGCAATGGACATTCTAGCTGGAAGCTTCCCTCTAACCCTCGTCAGCTGCCGAGAGCGTGGGTGGTAAGCTGTTGGGACAAGACAGCTGAGTCAGAGGGAGGAAGAAAACCCCCATGTTCTGGTAGAGAGAGTCTATGCTGGTAGGTAGAGTCTGGGCACAAGGACGGTTTCAGGTTATGCTTTAGGAACAAATGAACCTTCAAAGCCTAACGCGTTTAGCCCTGTGCGGCTCTATAGGCGTGTGTGCCCCTTCTGTGGCCCTCCCACGTCCACTCAGCCCAGACCCATCCTTGAGTCGGATAAAGACAGTGGCTGTAAACGTGACAGGAGTCGACCCGCCAACACACGTCCTGCACCTGGGGTGCCCACGGCGGGCCAGGGGGCTGCTCCTCTGACCAGGGTCCGTCTTGCTCCTTCTTGCCTTGTTTCCAAACTTCATTCATTTAATCAATAAAGTTATTCAACAATGACCCTATGCTTTGGGCCACACGAGACAGAACTGGTCCCTGTCCTCATAGACCTTACAGTCTGGTGGGGGTTTCAGACACTAAGGAGGCAAGCAAACAAAACTGACGACAAATTCTTACCAATTACGTTCATGGCTTTGAGGACAAAAGCTAGGATGCTACGAGAGAGAACAAGCGGGGTTACCTACTTTGAAGAGCCTACGTGAAGGTGCTGAGTCAAGAGGAGCTGGAGGCATCGCAGAACCGAAGCAAGGGAGGCACAGTGCGAAAGCGGCGCAGGTCATGATTAAGAGAGTGAAACTACTGGTGAGGAATCCAGAAAGGCTTGGGAGAGTCTAAATAGGGCAAGTGATGCAACCCAAGCTACACCTCAGAAAGCTCACTCTGGCCGCCGTCCAGGAAGACAAGTGAGGACTGCTGCGTAAATCAGGACAGGCGACGGCGGCGGGAAGGACGCTGAGAGGTCCAGACCCCAGGGAAGTTTTGGAAGTTAAACTGACAGTATTTGGTACAAGGCTGGATATGACTCAGGACCCCAGAGCCTTTAGATGAACTTTCGTCACCTTTCTGGCCTGCTCCGGGAGCCCATAAAAGCTGACTCACGCGTCGGTGCCCAGCTCCTGAATTAACCCAGGCCACTTTCCACTTGCATATATCTGCCCCTCCTAATTCTCAGCTTTACAGAGCCTCGAAGCCTGTCTTTTTTCTTTAGTGCCCTGGTTCTCACTGAGTCAGGGATCTTCCTTCCGTGTGTTAAGATTTACCCTGACACCTGCTCCACGGTGATCCAGAATGTGGGTCTTGCTATTCACAGCCCTCCACTGTGGGCAAGATGCGTCCCCACCCAACCCCATCACCTATGGGCCTAACTGGCTGGATCTGACCCTCATCAACCCCTACCCCCCCAATCCTGTACAGCCCTGACGTGCCGCCCACCTTTTCCAGAATGTCCATTTTATTGGGACATTATACTCCAGTCATTGACTGGGCCTGCTCCAATCTGGATGCAACCCTCAGATCCATCCCTGTGCCATTGGTCTCCTGTTTCCAAGTTTCTTCCCACCCTGAAAACTCTTCCTCTATTTTGTGGCCTAGATTAGACCTTCCATTCCTGTTCTCCTTCTAAGACATCACTAATCCAGACTGAAATCAAGCTGCCAAGTCCCTCTGGCTTGCTGGCTTCTGTCCTGGGTGGTGACTGAACTAATGGCAGGGTGGTCACGGTCTGAATGTATTACCTGGCTTAGTGTTGGCCAGACCAAAGTCCTTCCTATGCAATAAGATGCTGGCCTGACACCTTGCCACACCCGCCCCAGTTACAACAATGGGAGCATCACACAATGAACATGCCTAGGTACGCATACAGGCTGACTCTTGTGCATTCATATGAATATATGTGTGTGTGTGTGTGTGTGTGTGTATATGTGTGTGTTTATTCCCATGTATTCATAGATGACTGCAATGGCACTGCTCTGTCTTTGTATTACAATTATTTTACTGTAATCATCTGAGGCTGTATTTTTTGACTTTATGAATTCAAACTCAAAGATGTGGAGAGATCCACATCATTGGGTAGAGTCATGAACGGATCACAGGTGATATATCCCTGGATTGGTTCCTCTCCAGTCTTGCTTCCATCTTCCTGCACAGAATTTTTCAGGTAGCCTTTCTTTAAAAAAAATAATAATGGTGTACCCAACTGCCATAGTTCCCCATTTCCCCCAAAGAGAACTCTTTCCTCGGTTCATCTGCATTTTTCTTATGGTTCATAACTTCTTACTTTTTTATCAGTTATCTGTGGTTACAATAATACTGTGTAACACACAACTTCAAAATCTAGAATAATAAGCGTTGATTTAGTTCACAGGTCTATGTGCCAGCGATTTAGGCTGAACTGGCTAAGAAGCTCTGGTCTCTGAACTCACTAACTTACCTGACTATTGGCTCATGTTGGCAGGGATGACTCAGCTCTAGAACCCTGTTCATGTCCCGTCCTCCAGCAGGCTAGACTCGGCATGTTGTCATGGTGGTGACAAAGGGCAAAAGCAGAAATGCAAATGGAAACATGAAAGTGCTCTTTCAAATATCTGCTTGGGTCACATCTACTAACATCCCATTGGATAAAACAGGTCACATGGCTGGATGCAGAGAGGGAGGGAGGTCATCAGAGGTCATAGCAAGGTGTATGACTATAGGGAGTGAGGAATTCAGGCCATGGATGTGATTGCTCAACCACACCTGCATTCTTCTTTTCTTTTCTTTTTTCTTTTTTTGCTTCTTGGTAAAGGATGAGAGCTCATCTGATTAGGAATTTGGCTTGATTTAATATTGGAGAATCACTGTCAATTTTTCCTTGATACATTTTAAATTTACATACAAAAAATTCACCTTTTTTTGTTGTATAGTTCTATGATTTTTAACACTTGCACAGACTGGTGTAATCACCACCACAAATAAGATATGGAATAGTTCCACCACCCTTTAAGGTTTCCCTAGGTCACTGCTATTTTGAAAGCTCATGTCTGGATGCTTCGTCCCAAACAAAACTGGTGGTTTTGAATGAAAAAAGTTAAAACTTCGGCAGTGCCTCTGGAGTATTCTGTAGCCCAAACTTGAGATTTAGCTCAGAAAATGCCCTCGTCAAAAGGGTTAGCCATCAGATGGAACGCCTTGTGAAAACCAGGTTACAAGAAATTTAAAAATCAAGCCTAAGGGATCTCAGCTTGAAGAGATCTCTACTCCACCATTTTACAAAAAATAAAATACTAAATCCCTGATGGGTTTGAGTGCACCTTCAAAGGGAGAGAGAAAGGGAGAGAACAGGAACCCAAGTCTCTAGCTCAGTCCAGTGTTCTTTCTGTTGCTCAAAGCTTCTTTGGCCACTGGCCACTCATCTCTTTATACTATTTATCTCTGCCTTTTGTCTTCTTACCATCTGGTCCAGTGGGAATGGATTGGCTCAGTTTTCTTAATTTCTCTCGTAGATGCTTAAGGCATTGTTTTTTCCTCCAAGGAGGCCTATTTGGTGCCGAGTGATTTGAGGTGCCTCCCCTAGGTTTGCAGAGGGAGCGAGGTTTTTGTGCCTGGAAAATTTAATACACAATTTGATCTTTGCTACTCTACTGAACTCCTACTGAGTTCGTGTTTCCTTATCTCATAGCTCTCCCAGCTGCCAGGTAATTTGATCTGGATTTGTCTTATCAGTCCGAGGCCAGCAAGCAGGTGATGAATGAGGGGTAGGGAGGCAGCTGTCTCTTCTTTGAAGCCATGGCATTTTTGGAAGGGACTGTGTGTGTGTGTGTGTGTGTGTGTGTGTGTGTGGAGCAGTTGCTAGAAATGGAGGTAAAACTCAGTCCTACACTTCTTGGTCCCTGGCCTGCAGTGTTCTTTGTCTTTACTCCCTCCAACTCACCTGGAGGTGACTTTCATCTTGAGGAGTCTTGGCGTTTGTGAGACTTTGCAGTGGCCTGGTCATTGTGGCTCTCCTCCCAGAGGACAGAATTTCCCTGGCATGACACTGGTCGACCTGAAAACAAGAGCTTCCACTTATAAATCATGTTCATACTCTCAAGCTGGGGGCGTGGAATGGTGCAGCAGGTGGATTATACAACCTCCCCGAACAGAAGCCCTGCTGGTACCATGATGGTGCTGCCCCCGGGTAACCTGGCTAGGTCGTGAGCTTCAGATGTGAGATTAAAGGATCAAGGAGAAGCTGTTGAGTCATGGCATCTGACCCACTTAAACTTGTTATACTCTCTTCAAGAATCTGATACGTCCTTTGAGAGGCATCGCCTCTGTGTTGTATCTCTCCTGCACGACTGCGGGGAGAAAGCCCTCTATTTCTGCTGGAATGAAAAAAAAAAAGGGAAAACGGACTCTAGACTAATGGATATTGAGACCCAGCTGGACAAAGCGCTGTGAGGATGGAGCCACCAGGCTGACTCTGTAGGGTACCACTGCCGCCATAGCCTAAATAGAAATGCACCCAGCCCCCCCCCGACACACACATGACACCTCAGCATCCCTGTGCCTTGAGGGGTACGATGTCATCAAGCCAGTCAACCATCATTTAGGGGAGTCCTGTCAAGGCTTTCCATCCCTGCTCCCTGGCTCACTTTCCCTCTGCTGCTGTCACCAGGATGTCAGCACCCAAATGAATGCAAGGCCCCAACCCAAGCAAGCATCAACTGGACTGTCAGCCCAGTGAATGACCCACCCTGGGGACCTGCTGTGATGGCCCTGCCTCAGCTGTCACCTTCCCGTGGCCTTCCACTTTCCCCAGGAATGCAGAGCTGCCGAAAACAGCAGTCAGCTTCTCCCCGAGGAAGGAAAAGCTTGTGCGCAAGGTCACATCAACACGGGGCCTGAAAAAGCTCTCCCCTCCCCCACCCCACATACTCTGCTGCATCTTATCCTTGCTTCAAGCTAAGGACCTCTAAATCCAGCCACAATAGTAATCCTGGGATGGCAGGAAAATGCTCAGCCCAGAAAACATCCTCTGCAGTGCCACCGCCGGCACCAGTGAAGGACACGGAGTTAAATCGAAAACGAATTTGAATGACAAAGTGACACGCTGTCCATCTCAGCTAATGATAGGACAGGCTGGTCCTCCATCACTGGCAAGGCAGAACTGCCAGGCCCAGATCTGTATTTAAAAGCTCTTTCGCACGGTTTCAAGTCACCAGCTCAGCTCAATATCTAAAACAAAGAGAATGAATTATGGAACAGGACGAAGGGAGCTTGTTAATTTTCTCACTGATGCACTGTGAAATGAAAGCTTTATTCTAAGAATGGTATATCCTCCGGGCTCTCTCCCAAGAGACGCTGACAAACCCAAATGTCCTTACTGTTTCCTTTACCCCTACTTTATGGCTTTTTCGATACACAGTTATAAAATATGTATATTTCATGGTATGTCTGTATCCACAGGACTCGGGGAATTCAAGTCTGTGATTCCCTTTAGGGCTTCCTAGACAATCAGGACTACTTAGGTGATGTTACTGGTGAACACACACACACAGGCACAGACACACACTAGACTGTGTGCAGCAGGTCTGTGTATATTAGAGAGACATCCATGCAGGCTACTCGCTATTGTCCGTGCTGGGGAGCTACAGCCCATCTCCAATTGGAACCCAATGAAATAATCATGATAATTTTGCCTTCATGTATCACCTTTCATCAGGGAGGATGAAAGGACTTCGCAAACCGTGGGTTCCTCTTTGATCCAGGCTCCTATCTGGTGCACCGATCTCCATTGTGTATTCTGCCCCTACCCCACAGATGGGCTTCCCATTGATGGTAATTGAACTTCCATATGCACAGCACCAAGAGGCAGCCTCCTGTCTGCTGCCAGGAAAGAGAGGGCTGCTTCCAGAGGGGCTGCGGTGGCTGTTCTGCATTTGCGACGGGGCAGGGATGGTAAACGTGGGGAAAGAGGGAAGGCATGCTCAGCTGCAACTTTAGTTTTGAGAGAGGATGCCTAATGGCAGGTGGAGGAACATGCCAGGCAGCAATAAAACAAATCTCCAGAATGTACGTGTTGCCTAAGGCTCTGCTCTTAGCTGTCTTCTCATCCACACCCAGGGCTTTCGCTCTTAGCGTTATGGGAAGGACTCTGAGACACAGATCCCAGGCTCAAACTCTCCCCTGGGTCTAGCCAGGCATCTCCAGCTGTCTCCTGGGCATTTCCAGCCGCATATTTCGCTGGAACTTCAAACTCAACTTCTGCCAAATATAACGTATGATTCTTCCTCCTTCGCTCTCAGTAGCCTCCTTCCCTGCCCTTCCTACATGTAGTTACTGGAGTGAGAGGGAGCCGCGAGTGAGTCAGGATCTGTGTTCTCGTGGGGCTTGTGTTTTGGAGACCGGGTGCGGGGAGAGGAAAATGCAATAATCAAGTAATACATGGAGAGAAGAGTCAGGGAGTGATGGGTTAGGTGGTGACAAGTGAGGGTGTGGACCGTCTTGGACGGTCGTCAACACTGGCCTCTCTAGGTGGGGACCAGGGAGAAAGGCCTTCCAGGTGGAGGGAAGAGCAAGACCCTGAGGCACGAATGAGAT